TTTTTTTTTTTTTTTTTTTAATCCCCCCCCCCCCCCCCAAAAAAACAAAAAATCACACAGTGTCAATGATTCAGGACCTTCAAGTCGTGCCCATTGTTAGCTTATGGAATGGTGTGTTTTTATGATGGTCATCCCCCACCCACCTTTGTCCTCCTATAGCTTGTTACCATCCCTCATATCTCTGACTGCAAGCTCTTTGGGGTAGAGACCGTATCTTGTGTGTGTGTGTTTGTACAATGCTCAGCACATTGTGAACTCTGGGCACCACCACAATACAATACATTACAAATGATCATCCCCAAAATCTAGCATCGTGTTATAAAGATATCAATTTATTCCTAAGCAGAGTTGATAAGGTATTTAGAATTTGGAGGAACACTAATCCATTCATATCCCATCTGTGAGGGAAATTCAGCTGGGTAACATCTACAATCCCTAAAGAGACATGGTGGGTGAGGTAATATCTTTAATTGGACCAACTTGAAACAACCTTTCAAGCTACACAGAGCTCTTCTTCCAGTCTGGGAAAGGTACTAAAAGTATCACAGCTACATACAAGATCAAACAGGTAGTTTAGTGTAAAAGTATCAGGGGGTAGCCGTGTTAGTCTGTATCCACACAAAAAAACAAGGAGTCCGGTGGTACCTTAAAGACTAACAGATTTATTTGGGCATAAGCTTTCGTGGGTAAAAAAACCTCACTTCTTCAGAAGTGTAAAAGTAGTTAGCACGTATTGTAAGAGACCATTCAACCCCTATAATCATAGGACAAAAAAGGAGGGGTAGTGGGTTACAGCTTGTTGTAATGAACCATAAATCCAGTGTCTTTATTAAGACCATGCTTTTTAGTATCTAGCAAAGTTACGAATTTAAGCTCCCAGGCTCATCTTTCGAAATTGTTGCGCAGGTTTTCTTTGAGGATGAGGACTGATAGGTCAGATATAGAGGGATCGCATTGTGAAAAGCATTCCCTACAGGTGATAGGGTGTTTATGTCTTTTATCATTTTCCTACGTGAATTCATTCGAGAGCACAGTGATTGTATGCAATTTTCCTGGGTTTGGCGGTGTTCAGGTGACAGATTCACCACATTGGCTTTTGGGTTACTTAACAAAACACTGCAGTTTAGTGCAGCAACAGTTGATCAAACATTTTCTTTTTGATAGGACAGGGCTATTTCACTGACAAATCCTTTTAAAATCCAACTTCATTTTTAACATTAAAAATTCTATATTTTAGATTTTTCTTACTGTCCCTGCTGTATCGAGGATTTCAAGCATACACTGTTGGCAGTCTACTTCCACTTGCTGGAAAAAAAGGAAGAAACAAGCAACATTAAGAAAAAAAATGGCATATGCTCAAAAGTGTGCTAGTGTGAGACATACAGAATTACAACTGAAGAGCCCTTTAACTTATGTTTTCCTTCATTCCTCCTCAAACCCACCAAAAAAAAAAAACCTCAAACTTGTTAAATTTTCCAAGCATTCCACTTACTAAAAATCATTTCAGATTAAAGAGGGTAATTCCAGAAAATGCAACTCTTGATTACGAAGGTTTTAACAATTTTTTCACTTAATTGTCATGCACAAAAAGCACCACTTCCTTTCGTTTTCTGGTGTGGAGCCTTTAATTGTGACAACAATTATTCTTATCTCTAAATTATTCTTATCTTTACATCAATCTGAGTGGAGAATGCAGCTCTAGGGATAAAATTACATCAAGCCTCTGTGTCAAGGATTTGAACAAGAGCTTCTGCTTTGCAACTGCAAGCTCATTTCCAAAAAGGCAGTGAAAAATGTCATATGCCTTCAAAGTAAGCAACACCCATTAAACTAAAAAGTAAAGTGGTCTGTTTTTTAAAAACCATGACTATACCTCAGTACTTAAATCTGTGATATTTGGGTTATTTCCTTTACTTACAGTAGGAAACGTTGCAAACGCCATGACATGATAAATTCGGATTCATTTATTTTTAAATGGCAATCAATGTTATGTCAGCATACCATGAACTAAGTCTGCATGACATTAAGGGTATGGCTACACTGTGATAAAAAATCCTGTAGCACCAAGTTTTAGAGCCCAGACTGCGGGGCTAAAAATTGCAGTCTGGACGTTCAGACTTGGACTGGAGCCCGGGCACCTTCCCCTTTCGCGGGGTCTCAAAGCCCAGGCTCCAGTCCAAGCCCGAACGTCTACACTGCAATTGTAGAGCCCAGCAACCGGAGCCAGAGTCAGCTGACCTGGGCCAGTCGCAGCCATGTCACAGGTCTTTTATCGCACATACCCTAAGGCCCTGATCCTGCAAAGTGCTCTACAGACACACAGGGAACCAGGTGCATGGATCAAGTGCTCTATACAGGCACAGGGTTCCAGCCGCATGGAGGCTAACAAGCCAGCATCACTATACTAACACAGATCCAAACTCACACCTCTTACTCAGACAAAATTCCCAGGACATGGAGAAGGTTTGCATGAATTAAAAACAAACAAAACACCACAACAGGATCAGGCCCTAAAACGGCTGATAGAAAAGAAAATAGCATCATTTTATACTGTACCTTTCTGTATGAATCTTCTATTGTGGGGTCATATTTTTCAACAAAAATTCCCTGAACAAATTGTACAGTCTGAAAAAAAAGCGAGAAAAAACAGTTCAAGAATAAACTCAGATATGGCCTACTGACCTTCAAGTAGCAGCTCTTCAAAACCAGAATTCTGCATCACATCAGTATTGCCAACCCAAGCATTCAGAGTCACGAGCCAGGACTTTAATTATATTTAAAAAAAATAAAATGTGGGTTTATTGGGCTTTTTTTTTAGTTTTGGAATCTTCTAGGTGCACTGTCATATTTTCAAGAATTTCTCAGCAACCATGAGGGCTAGAAACTTATTTTTTAAAGTGACAGCGAGTGTCTCGCAAAAATCTCGCAAAGGAACTGGGCCTTCAGGAAAACCACCAAATACTGTGAAACTCACAATAAAATCCGGAAAGGTGGCAACACTGTAAAGTAGATCTGTGAAAGCCTCTGTATTTGAAGTTTAAGTTTCATTTAGAGTATCTCAGTCTCATTAAAATGCAGTAAGCTCTTTAGGGCAGGGACAGGGTTTTTGTGCTCTGTGTTTGTGCAGCACCTAGCACAGTGGGGTCCAAGTCCGTGATTAGGACTCCATGGTTCTAAGGTAATACAAATAAATAAAATGTCAATACTGACAAAGAGATCTAGCAAGATTCCAGAATGACAGATTTAGAAATTATCTGTAAATCATTCAACTTTTAGCAATTGTAATTGTTTTTATAAAAATCAAAAACGAATAAAAACCAACTAGAACAGTGCACCACACATTCAACAACCACAATGTATATTAAAACAGAAGAAAGGAGATACCACTCATTTCAAAACTGAAGTTCTTTCCTCCCCTATGCACGCACTCAGAGTGAAACTAGGATGGGAAGCTTTTGACATGGCTGGTGTCTGGATAGCCAGTATTTTTCTTAAATTTGTAAAGGACCCTATATTTTAGTTGTTCTTTTAGGGCTTTTGGATGGCAACTTATGCTTTTCCACCAACCACGCTACGGTTTTCTACTTTTGCCCTGTGAGAGAGAAGAAGTTCACTTTCACCTATTCCAGGGCTTTGCAAATGTCTTTCATAGTATGGAGCATATCTTAATAGAAAGGCATGTGCTTTTGATATTTCCTCTCCCATTAGTGATTGCAGAGCATCCCTGTAACAACCACAGCATTTGCTTACATAGAAGAGTGAGGTTTTTAGCTTCTTTTAATGTGATTTAATAGCAGGAAATAAGGAGAATGTAGCACCAAGTGCGACCAGCCAGATCTCCGCAGGTCACTACACCCCTACCTCGATATAACGCAACCCGATATAACACAAATTCGGATAGAACGCGGTAAAGCAGTTCTCGGGGGGGGGGAGTGGGGCTGCGCACTCCGGTGGATCAAAGCAAGTTCAATATAACGCGGTTTCACCTCTAACGCGGTAGGATTTTTTGGCTCCCGAGGGCAGCGTTATATCGAGGTAGAGGTGTATTTAAGAAATTCGGAACTGCTCTACTTTCAGAGTGGCGGATTTTTTGTTTTAATCAGATGTTGCTACATAATCTACTAGATAAACTTGGATCTGTGAACCAGGAACTACTAAATTCTAATGCTAATCTGTCTCTGACTTACTATGTACATATAGATAGTAGCAACCTCTGTGTCTCATCTCTCTCTTTCTCTCTCTCTCACACACACACACACACACGGGCTCAAACATGCTTTTGCTCCTAAATACATGGTTTCAGATTTTGAAAGAGTCGCACACAGCCAGATGTCTGCAAAAGGCATCACTGTATTCTGGAGAGTACAAAACACCCACTGGTTTCTTTTAAAGTAGCAAGAAAACAATTTTCTAGCTTTCATGCTTGAGAAGATTTCCTGCAGATGAGAGGCATGTGCCCTCACTCAAAAGCTAGCTAAACTCATTCTATAATCTAGAACAGTGGTTTGCAATCTGTGGTCCTCAGACCTCTGTGGGTCTGCAGACTATGTCTAACATTTCCAAAGAGATACAGTATGCACCTCCATTCGAAATTTTTAAAAGGTTTAAAACCACTGGTCTAGAAAGACTTAAAGTCTCTTCTTCTCTACCATTTCCCTATCACGTTGTATGTTTGTTGTCTCAAAAGTCTCTTCAGATAGAAGATCCCAGAAATCCCACTTTAAATGAGATCAGTAATGCAATCAGCCATGGTGTTATAAAAGGCAACAGAAGCCCTACCACAACAGGCAGAACTCCTTTAGATTGTGGTGATTATATCCCGAGACTTCTTAATGGTTACTACCAAAAAGGGTACAAAGACTTTGTTTTTGATTAAGAGGCTAACACTGGAAACTGTGATCCAGTCATGACTCAAAAAAAAACAATTGTATCTCATTTGTATACTGTTAATAGTTTCCCCATGTTTGTAAGTTAGTCTTCACCACAAAGGTGCTAGAACATTGTATTCTAAACTGTCATTCAAATACAGAACTGAATACCAATACCAGCCACTTTATAAGTCATTTTAGTTTAGGTCACTGGGGGGTGGGGGAGGGGTGGAGAGAGAAATGTCAAGATTACTTTATTGGCAGCAAAATACCATAGTTCTATTCTGTTTTAATCTCTTCCACTGTATTATTTTAAAACGCATCTCAGAACCTCTCTTCTGATTGCTGTTTGTAAATAATTTGCTATTTTATTACCGCTCAATGCATCAGATCTTGACTTGTTTCTTGTTAATTTTTTGTTCCCCATTATCAGCGTGTTGGATCAATATTTCCATATGCAATGCAATGTACGGTTATATACTGTCAATAATGGCATTTAGCTTACCAAATATCTATTGATCACTGGACATGCACATTCACATTAAATACACTGGATATTATTATTCATTCACTCCAGTTGTATCCCTGGTACAAAGCTGATGATTAATGGAGTCACCCCCAATTTACAGTGTTGTAGGTGAGATGAGAATCAGGCCATCATACATATTACTTATAATAAACAAAAAACAAGTTTATTCGTCCACAGAAAATATATGAGAATTAATGAGTCTGGAAAAAAAAATCTAACTTTTACCTAAAGGTTAAATATTTGGAAAAACAAAAGTTTGTTTTTCAAATAAAAAAAAGCTAGCGAGACTGAACTGATTTAGATTTTACATCACAAGTGTTCAGGAAACTTCTTCAAAGTTTGACATTTGTCTGACATTTTAGTGGTGTGTACAGCAGGTTAGACAGAGTCTCATCACAGGACTCCTAACTCACAAATATTATATTCCTGATGGGAAAAACAGACATATCCTAGGGGACGATGGGGGGTGAGGGAGGGGAACAGCTTCATTATTAATTGCTCAAGTTACCATGGAAAAATAGGGTTTTATACAAACACATTTTTAAGAATAAAGTTTTACACCTGCATGATACCACAGGTTATTATGGAGAAATCAATTAAATAGTGCATCAAACCAAATGTATTGTTTAACAACCTGATATGCTTTCCACCACATGTCTTCTCTCACTCGCCCTTTGCATTCTGCAAGTAACTTACCAAGTACATCAGTTTTTCATCTCCACGTGTAAGTGAAAGGATGCAAGAGAAAACAATCTTACTATCCTTAACACCTTATTGTTTCCTACATTAAAAACAATTGGACAGCTACTCCCACCCCTAAGTGGCAGGGTGAATTTGCTTTTTTTAATAAGTTCCCACTAGTTCCTCCCTGCCTACTCCTTTCAGTAGTGAGCTGGTTGATTTAGATGTGTGATACATAGCTGACCACATGCTCAGCTACAACAAATGACTGAAGTCTCCATTTACAGTGCATTGGCTTTGCTGTCAGCACTGCAACACAAACCAGTGAGAAGCAACACTTATATTTAGGAGTGAGCAGCACCATCAGTCCACAGTTATCCTTCTACACCAGGGGTAGGTAACCTATGGCACGCATGCCAAAGGCGGCACGCGAGCTGATTTTCAGTGGCACTCACACTGCCCGGGTCCCGGCCACCGATCCGGGGGCTCTGCATTTTAATTTAATTTTAAATGAAGCTTCTTAAACATTTTTAAAACCTTATTTACTTTACATACAACAATAGTTCAGTTATATATTATAGACTTATAGAAAGAGATCTTCTAAAAACGTTAAAATGTATTACTGGCACGCGAAACCTTAAATTAGAGTGAATAAATGAAGGCTCGGCACACTGCTTCTGAAAGGTTGCCAACCCCTATTCTACACTACCAGTGGGCTGTTTCTTGCCACACTGGTTTCAGTCTAGTTCCACCTGCAATGGGAAACACGCAGCCTTCGAGGCATGCCAGCTACCCTGCGCCTCAGGCATCAGCAATTCACTAGCATTCAAGCTAATACTCTGTGCTTCATTTTATTCTAGATTACACATTTGCAATTTACAAAATATATATTTATATGCTAGGTTATATACATGTAAACTGAAAATAAAATAGTAGCGTAGGTTGTTTTCAGTGAAAACAAATAATCTCAGTGCTCCATCTTTAAAGATTTGGTCATTTTAAATGTAATACATTTACAACTACTTGAGCAGTTCAATAGCTGTAATCCAATCAACTATTGTGCATGCAGAAAGTAACAAAAGTGTCCCGATAGTGTAAAACAATCCTATTTGCAATGACACACTCGTGAAATTTTTGATACTGCCCTCCAATGCACAATTTTCAAATCAGATACTGAACACTCACTCACCAAAGCAGACTTCCCAACGCCTCCTGAACCCAGGACCACTAGCTTGTACTCACGCATGATGTGGTCTGTTCAAATACAGGCAATCTGAAAAACAAGGGGAAAGCATGGAATTAGGAGCAATGTTTGCAAGCATCACCTCAGAAACATTACGTGTTTTCCCAAAGAACCGCTGTCATAGCATGTTTATTTGTAGAATAGACTATTTTGTATAGCTAAATACAAAAATCTCTTCAGCAGCAGCAAAAAGATTTTTATTTTAAATCTGGGTACCCAAGCAAATGTGTACTTTGATGGCTGTAATTTACTGTACTCAGTGTAGCAACCTTCAAATTCAAAAAAAATAAATTAAAAACCCACAATGTTTTCACCAGGATGTTGGTAGACGTACAAAGTCTTTTTATTGTTTCTGTTCAATATTATAATACAGGCTGGGATTTACCATTATTTGATTTACAGACTTTCAATTATTCACCTATTTCGGGGAACTTGTGAGGAGTCTGACTCTGGAATTCCTTTCTTCCCTTGGGATACCAAAACTTAGACCTGTTAACTTTCTGGGAATACTACAAAGTTAGTCTTTTCTTTCAGGTGTTTGGGAAGAGAGAGAGTCAAATGTGGAGTTATTATGGTGGTATGTTTTGTTGTAATGATAAAAGGGCATTTGATATGTACCCATCCATGAAGGGGAAACAATTCTTCCCTAAAAATCTAGCTGCACAAAATATTACTACTTGTTTACGGTACCTTTCCTTCACCCTTCCAACATTTAATTGCATAAAACTACAAGCAATTAAACAAGAAAATTGAACCAGTGAAATATAAGCACCAGAGTTTACTTCACCCACCCACCCGCAACAGGGAATGATTTAGGAGGTCAGTATTTTCTTTCTGAAAAAGGTCAGGCCTAACTTACTGCTGCCAAGTTAGAAACCTCTCTGCTCTTCCAAGCAACGCCTGTGCCTTTTTATGGAAATCTCTCAACCCTCTATGCAGCACAAGAAAATTTCTCATTCTCATCAAGATGCCCTGACAAATAAGGAGAATGACAAAGCCAGCAATAAACATTTTACACTATGTTTACATTATAAGCCAGGCTTGGCTGCCCCATCAACAGAGCCCAAGCAAACAATGACCTCACCAGCTAATTATCTGTTCATTCTTCCCCCAGTAAAATAGCACTTTCTTCCCAAGTAAGGATTCAGAAATATGAATGCTATGAAACTGGACAGGTTTAGTTTCTCAAAGGGATTTCAGACTAACTTTGCCACATGATTTATAGGCCTCTCTAGGTATAATCTTATGATTTGTTGTAAAAATAACGATTTATTCCCTGTAGCAGGATATAAAAATAAACCAACTTGCTCACTGGAATTAACAGTACACAGTGGGCATGGACTGTGTTCCCAGCTCTGCCACTGATTCACTCTGTGACCATGGGCAGGTCATTTATAACCTGTCTGTGCCTCAGTTTATACATCCATAAAATGAAGGTGAAGGTTGTAACACACAAATTCTTGACAAGAAAGTTGCTCTATGAATGCAGAGTACTACTGATGGGAAACTTCTCCTGAACTCCAAAGATGCCCTGTAGCTAAATTACTTGGAGTTTATGTTCTTGAACAAGATGAAGAATCCATAAGTACATCCCCATTTGTTTTAAGTTCAAAACTGACATAGTAGGAGACAGAGACAAATCTAAAGGCATTACCTAAAATTAGCAGGCTGGATGATACAGGAACAGGTCTGATATGTTTCAATTAGAGGATCGAACAGTCCCTCACTATAAAAAACACTAACAGCAGCCTTGATGGAAACATGCAAGATTTTGGAAGTGTGCATGCAAAATTGTACATGCACTATTGAACACATCTAGCTTGCTCAAACTATAATCTGCATGTGCAGGTTAGACACTGCATGCACAAACCAAAATACGTACAAAGGTGTGAACAGATTATAGTATCTGCATGTTTGAAAATTTAGCCTATTATGTTTACTAGCTATGAACAGTAGGGATGGACTGGATTGTCACTTTAGGATAAGCCTTTGGTTTAGAAGGTTACATTTATAACATTTTGCCCTACGATAACTGGGTGGCAGGATTGTGACAGAGAAGTCAATCAGACCCTGGTGTACTGCTAAGAGGCTTAGCTTCCTCCTACAGTGCAATATGTCTGCCTACTGCAGTCCTGCTCCTTAAATAATCCATTTTAACCCTTGTTATAAGACACTTGACCTGTGATCCAATGTTGGGGTAACACACACACAAAAAATTGATCTTGCCTAACAATCTCTGTGTTTTATTTATTTCTCGCTTTTAAGCTACTAAAATTTACAATGGTTCTACCTTCCTCACAACCTTATACCTGATCTAGCAAAGCATGCAGGTGTGTCTGTGTGTGTGTGTGTGTCTGTGTGTGGTGTAATGGCGGTGGAAGAGGTGTTTTCTGGATCAAGGCCTTAAGGCTCAGAGTTTTAACAGCTCAGAGTACTGTAATGAGCTCATCACTGAAGTTAATGTTCGTATAAAGCTATATTAATTTAACAAAATATATCCTAATAGATTAGTACAGTGCCACAGAAAATTAAACTACACTTGTGGAAATAAATACAAGTAATTTTAGCAATGCGATACTATAGGGTTTTTTGTTTATACGTTCATTTACTCATTAATTTGAAACATTTGATTATCTGCAATGGGGTTCCCAGTCAATGTTAGCTAGAAGTTTCTACCACACAATGTCAGTGGAGAAAATTATGCTCCATTATTTACTGCAAGTATCATCTCTGAAGTCCTGTCTTCTGAGACCAAAAACCCACAAAGGAATGAGCCACAAACATTTTTAGGTCAGATTGATTTATACAGAAGGCTACATCTTATGGCCATTAATGTATCAATGCCCTTTATAACTAAAATAATAAAACTAAAGTCTTGGTCACTATTTTAAGGAGCCAATGCAGTAACAACCTACAGGAATTCTTTGCAGAAGTAAGATTATTTGAAAGTTAGCATTTTGAATGAGACCTAGCTTTCACTGTGGGATCTGAGTAATGCTCAAACAACAATGAATGTATCTTCACAACGCGTTTGTGAAGTAGGGAAGTATTATCCCCATTTCATAGATGCAAATATTGAATCAGAGAGATTATGTGACTTGCCTAAGGTCACACAGGTCTATGGCAGAGCTAGTTACTGAACCCAGTTTGCTCGAGTCCCAGACCAATGCCTTAACCATAGACCAGGGGTAGGCAACCTATGGCACAGGTGCCGAAGGCGGCACGCGAGCTGATTTTCAGTGGCACTCACACTGCCCGTCCTGGCCACCAGTCTGAGGGGCTCTGCATTTTAATTTAATTTTAAATGAAGCTTCTTAAACATTTTAAAAACCTTATTTACTTTACATACAACAATAGTTTAATTATATATTACAGACTTATAGAAAGAGACCTTCTAAAAACATTAAAATGTATTACTGGCACGCGAAACCTTAAATTAGAGTGAATAAATGAAGACTCGGCACATCACTTCTGAAAGGTTGCCGACCCCTGCCATAGACTATCCGTCCATGCTCATGTGGTAATGGATGCATAATACAAATCAGAGAGAAGAGACCTGTTAGGTCAAATCCCATCTACTCCTCTGGTCACTTCCTTTTAATTAAAGGAAGATACATAATTCATGAATGCTGGACACAAATCAGAATCTCCAGCTGTCACATCAGTTCTAGTATGTGGCTAGTGTGTTTAACAATTGATGCATCTGTAGCCACATAAAAGAGTAAAATACTTTACAAATAACTCTGCTCACTGGGCCCTATGGATAAAGCACTCTAGCTCTCTGCAGGGTTATTCTAGCAGCTCTTATTGAAAAAATAGTTGCAGCTGATTCTCTTGAATACGAGAGTGTCTAATGAGTCATTGTGCTCACTGGTGCACAGGACAGGGAGTCAACACTCCAGTGTTCTACTCCCAGCTTTGCCACAGAATCATTGACACACCTCAGGCAAGTCACTTCCCCTCTCTGCGCTTTAGTCTGCTCTGTACAATGAAGCTTCTTCGTAAAGCACTTAGGGATGTATGCAAGAAAGGCACTTTGAACGTGATAAGTGCTATTAGTTAGTAGAAGCCTTACTCCATGTTGTGTGGCCTCACTGGCCTGAGGCTCTACCTCTTAATTCACATAAGACTCTGCTAAACCTAGGCCAAACCAAATCCATCTCCGCAGGTGGGACTCCACCTCCTGCTTTGGACAGGAACTCTGTCCCAATGCCAGTTTACCATACCAGTCAGAATGGTCATCTACTCATCTCTCTACGTATCCTTACGCCCCCTTTGCCGTGGTATCAGATCACTTGAACTCCCTTTTTTCCCCTCCTTGTTAAAAGCAGGTTTAATACCCTGTGTGCCTCATCTGATCTTTAATGGCCTAAAGTGAATAGTCCTCATAAGTCTGTATATAATTGCGTAACTGTAACTAAACAGGAGATATTTAGGGGGGGAGGGATAGCTCAGTGGTTTGAGGATTGGCCTGCTAAATCCAGGGTTGTGAGTTCAATCCTTGAGGGGGCCACTTGAGGATCTGGGGCAAAATCAGTACTTGGTCCTGCTAGTGAAGGCAGGGGGCTGGACTCGATGACCTTTCAAGGTCCCTTCCAGTTCTAGGAGATGGGATATCTCCATTAATTATTATTATATTAGCATTTTGGAAATAGTGTCAGCAGACTTGGTAACATGGAGGGAGGGAAGGGAAAGGAAAGCAAAGCAAACCAGGAGTTGAGAGCAACAAAGTCTGATCTTAACTATTAGATCCTACAAAGACAAGTCCTTCTTTTTGGTGGTGGTGGTGGAGAGCGAGGGAGGAGTGAACACGAAGGCAGGTTGAGTTCTATGGCACAAAAATTACAAGAGCATCCTAAGTTATTAATGAGCCAGAGCCCAGCAGCAATGCAAAGAACACACTGACAACGTTAGATGCAAGCACTTTTCAAAGGGAGAGCAGTACGTCCTCACTGGACTGGCAAGTTAAAGCTTGTACAACCCAGAGACTGACAAAATACCTGACCTTGTCCTCTCTACCTTGTTAAATA